TAGTTGCACCTTGGCAAACTAGTTTTGTTCAAAGACGGTCTATTATCGTTAATGTATTGGTGGCTCAGGAGTTTGTTTCAGATTTAGACTGCAAACTGGTTCAAAGTAATTTGATGCTTAAGCTTGATATGGAGAAGGCTTATAATAGGGTAGAGTGGTCTTTTTTGTTGTTCATGTTGAGGCAGTTTGGCTTTCAAGAAGGGGCAATTGATTTGTTTTTTTGTATGCTTGTTAATAATTGGTTTTCCATTCTTATTAACAGGGAACCAACAGGATTCTTCACTTCAACTCGTGGAGTTCGGCAAGGCGACCCATTGTCACCAGCCTTATTCCTTCTTGTTGCAGAATTTTTGGGTAGAGGACTTCTTCATATTTTCCTTCAGGATGACCGAAGGTTCTATGTTATTGTAGGCAGTCAGGTTACTTATCTTGCATTTGCTGATGATATGCTGATTTTCTCTCGTTGCTTAGAGAATACAGTATTGCTATTCGTGATCTGTTGCACCTATATGAGTCTTACTCTGGGCAGCGAGTAAATGTAGCTAAGAGTTCCTTCATTTGCTCATCTCGGACATTGGATGAACAGAAGGCCATGGTAGCATCAATTTTGGGTTTTTGTTAGCAATCATTGCCTTTTAAGTATTTAGGAGTCCCAAATTACTAAGAGGAGACCTGTTACAGTTCTTTTGATAATCTAGTCGCTAAACTCAGATTGAGATTATTCTATTGGAGTAGTAAGCTCCTATCTAAAGGGGGCAAGCTGGACCTACTTCATCATGTGCTTTCGTCCATGCCCTTGTATTTGTTACAGATGCTCTAGCCTCCTAATGCAGTGCTCTCTCGATTGGGTAAAATTTTTAATGGCTTCCTCTAGGACAATGGAGGGGGTGATCGTCGAATCCATTGGTGCTCATGGGAGAGGGTGTGCTTCCTAGTAGATAAGGGGGTCTAGGACTTAGGTCGTTTTCAGACATGGTTACGTCATTTGCCTATAAGTTGTGGTGGCGTCTGCTTCAGAGGAAGTCATTCTGGTCTGAGTTCATGTTTAAAAAGTACGTTGGGGTTCAGCATCCAGTGGTTGTATCAACAGAGCGTCCATCTAGGACTTGGTGGCAGCTATTGAAGGTGAGACATTTAGTTGAGAGCCAAATGAGATGGTGTGTGGGGCAAGGTGGTGTGGACTTTTGGTACGATATATGGTGTTCTAATGAACTGCTCTATAGTAAACTAGAAAGACAGGTTGCGCCAGGGGTCCTTGTTTCTGATTTTTTTGATGGAGATGCTTGGGATGTGTGGAAGTTACAAGAGGTTCTTCTACCCTCCTTAGTGCGGTCTATCAGTTAGATTACAATTGATCAATCAGAACCTGATACTCTGATCTGGTTGCAGTCGAGTTCAGGTGAATTTACAGCTATTTCGGCATGGGAATGCATTCGGCAGAGGAGAAATTTTTCGGTGCTAGATAGGGTAACTTGGGCTGCCATTCTGCCTTTGAAAATTTCCTTCTTCACTTGGTGTTTTTTGCGGAATTTCCTGCCGTTAGATGTGAATATTTAGCATAGAGGTGTTGCATTAGTATCTTGGTGTGTCTGTTGTTATGGAACCAAGGAGTCTGTAGATCATATTTTTGTTACAGGTATGGTAGTGACACAAGTTTGGATACATTTTGCAGGGATGTTTGGAATTGTTGGAGGGCATTGGACAAGAGTTGCATCCTTGCTCTTCTCTTGGTGTCATTCTTTGCCAGGAGTGGGCAGAATACACATTCGAGGGCTGCTCCTCTCAGTGGTGTGCTGGTACATCTAGAAAGGGAGGAATAAGGTGCAATATGAAGGCTGTTCCTTTAATGCGGAAGGAGTGATTTTGAAGGTTGAGGGATTTTTTAAGTAGCTAGTATTGGCTGGGCGCCTTAGTGGGAAGCATTTTCGAGAGGATGAGGATTGCATTTGGGCGAATGGTGTACAGGCTACAACCAAGTCGGTGAAGTTATTGTTAGTTCGGTGGGTTGGGCCTCCTGCAAACCTTTATAAACTTAATTCGGATGCAAGTGTGAGGGAAGGACGTGCTGTAGGGGGTGTCTTGGTGCGGGATTGTGAGGGCAAGTTGGTATTTGCAGGGTACAAGGAATTTGGAGATGTGGAAGTGTTAGTTGCTGAGGCGTTGGCCTTGTTAGCTGGTTTGAGGATGTGTGCAGAATGTGGTTTTGCTAGATTTCTGGTCGAGGTGGATTCCAGGTTGCTGGTTCATTTAGTTTCGTCTAGGTCTACAGGTAAATGGCCTTTGTGCAATGCACTTCGTCAATTTTGCATCTCTAGGGCATGTGTATAGGGAGCAAACTCGACAGCCGATAGGGTTGCGACTTTGGATTTGGGTCAGGACTATGTGTTTGATCATGTTAATCAACTCCCATCATTAGTTAGGGCAGCTCTAGTACTCGATGCACAAACTGTTCCATTTGTTCGTGCGCAAATTGTAAGGGAGTAAGTACTCCTTATTTCCTTTTCGTCTACTTTGTATTGGTCTATTTTCCAATAATATAACAGGGGCTAGCATCCCTTCTATGGTTTCGGGGTTTTAGCCAAAAAAGAAAAAAAAAAAAAAGAAAATCTTGTGGTAATAGATTCACCAAAATTCTTGTATAGCTATTATTCTAATGAAATATCGAGTTTATTAACAAATCTCATAGAAACTAATCACTACAAATATTTTATTTTTTCTTCTTACTTTTATCTTTCTATTCCATGCAGAATTTGCAGGTTCCTCCATTGATGGATGCATTATTGGAGGGGTTAGATTTGTTTTTCTTTTCTATCTTTTTCACATACTTGATATTTTTTCATACACTCTTTTTCGCTTATCAGGTTTATAGAAAATGTGAACCCTATTTGAATACTTGTTCAAGGATGGATTTTGTAGCTAACATGAAGAAAGAAATTTCTGTATGGCTAAATATGCTTAACAAAGTAGAAAAAAAATATGAAATAAATATAACAATAACGGAAGACACTAATTTCTTCTTTATATTTCAAACCTATGATGTAATTGGCTACAAATCTGAATTAAGTTACTGCCTGCCTTTATTCTAATTGTCAACCATTTTCAAATACCCAAATCCGCAATTGGTGAAAAATCAAGTTGGAAAATTGATAAAGCAGAATTCTATTGTTAAAAGATTAAATAACCAAAAAAAAAAAACAGTTTAATAAGCTACAACCGGTTGCCAACTTCCACTAATGTGTTGAGAAGGGTTTAGTTTAGTGGATAAATTTGAGATTCTAGAATCTAGACATTACTCATATTACTCACTATACATATTTCATTTTATAAAAAATAAAATAGAGAAAATTTTTTCTCAAAAAATGAATACTGCAAATTTTTTTCTAAAAGCAAATTTACCAATTTAGATTTAGTTGAAAACAAAAAATAACTAGATAAATCAAGGAATATTGTAATATCATTTCCTATATTATATTGTCTTCATCTAAAAATAATATATATTTTTTACATTCTTCATTCTCTATTCTTTCTCTAAAGAAATATAATTAACTGTCATTCAACATTTTTTTAAAAATGATCTCCTTTTTTGAATGCTAATGCATAATGCATAATTAGTATAAAAATTTGCACTGTTTATTGGTTGCCATAAGAATCAATATCTAAGTGATATGGATTTACTTGAAACATCAATCTCATAGTAAAATACACAAATTACAAATTCAGATTATGTCATCTCATCAATACATTATACGTTGTCTATACAAATTCATGTATGTATACACGTATGCATATATAAACACACATATACATGATAAAAATAGTAAGCAAATTTACATGAGTATTGATGTTAAAAATCATATTGATTTGGCATAATTACATTGACTGCCTGATGTAGCAATATCAAAATATGTAATTCTTATCCTTATCTTGGAGAATTTTAGAAGGAAATACAAAGCCAATTTGGTTAATTAGGGGGAAAAAAAGCCAATTTGGTTATACCATTGAATTGGTAATGAAAAAATACTATATAACCTTAGATTGGAGCAAACTTTAGGCTAATGCTATATTGAAACAAGATGAATATATATATATATATATATTATCTCTATTTTATTCAAGTACAATGTAGTTTTCTGAACTCACTACACGCATTGCACATTGTAAGCAAGTATAGAATCTTAGTTATTTAATTCCACATAGAAAATTGTCAACCATATTTTTGCAACACCAATATATAAGATAGAAAACACAATTTCAACTTCATAGGACAGCCAATTAGCCTTGCTTTCAATTTTTAAGATTCTCATTTCTAATTTGAGCACATAAAAATTGAATTAAAAAAATTCTGTAACAATTCCCAAAAGAAAAAAGGTTTGGGAATCAACATTCTCATGAATTATGAATAATTTATCAACACGCACATACTCAAACACTTCTACTTAAGAGACTATAAAATCTTGTGAAGGGATAAGATTTAAAAAGTCAAAAGGGGACAAGAAATTTGAATCTAAAACCTCTCAATTATAGAGTTTTATTTTTAATTATTAGATCAACACAACTTGTACCAATTTAAATATGCATAGTAATAAAAGTGAAAAAAAAATCCACAAAAATTTGATTTTGACTAGGAGATAAAGAGAAAATTTCTAACACTCCAACAGTAAGGGAAACTTTTGTACTAATTTGTGAAAAGGCCATAATTTCTGCTTAATTTCTACATCGAAATTTTACCTTTGTTTTAATTTCTCTAATCACGAGCGTTCTTCCAAGTTCCAACTTCGAGAGGGAGAAAGGAGGATAAAAAAGAAGCAAAAGACAGCAACTCTTCCATCACTCTCCTCAGTCAATTATCCTCCCCATAGCCTGCAACGATCGTCTTCTTCAGTCCCTTTATTTATTTCCAAATAATCTCCGCAATCCATTAAAGAGGGGGTGGTTTGGAAGTTGCCAGAGGAAACCATAAGAGGAGGGAAGAAAGGGAAAATACAAAAAAAGTCCCAAAAATGGCTGCACAGAAACGAACTTCAATTCCTCAAGGTGGTGAGGAACATTCTGCCCCTCATTCCAGCCGACCACGGCGTAAACAATCGCGGAGGATTGGAGGTGATCAACCGGCGAAGATGGCAGCTGATCAAGGACCGCAGCTGCGGCAGCAGCAGCAGCAGCCAGTTCAAGAAGCTGAAGGTCAGCCACCACCTGAGGCCCCTGATGATCAGCAACCAGTTCAGCCGAATCCAGATGAAGGTAGCTAAATGGGCGTCGAATTCGAAATCCATTTTGCTAGCATTGATTTTTGGATTGGTTTTCGATGCTAGTTATGCGCAGTAGTAAAGAGTTGATTTTGACTAATTTAATTGTTGAATTCGTCAAAATTATTCAGATTCTGGTGGAAGTGGAACTGACCCGGAAGAATTTGACGAGTAAGGACTCTTCTTTTATTTGTTTATCAATTCATGTATGTGATTGTCAGTTTTGCATGTATGTATGTATCCATGCATGTGGAACTTATCTGGTGGTAGGAATTTGTTTTGATACATATAATTACTTTGTTTTGATAGATGTTGAGGCGATTTTGAATATTACGTGCATTAATTCGAGGCTTACGCATGTGTTAGGCATTTTGAGTTGTTCCGTACGCAAAAAATTTTTATCGAATCACCACATGTTCATGAACGTCTGATGTAAAATTTGCTTGGGGGTAAGTTGATTCGGGCAGTGTTCGTGCATTCAAGGTGCTTGAGTCGATGCCTAAACAGTCTCTGAATGTTGCTTTTTGATGCGTATTGATTTCATTTGTCAGCGGTTTTCTATACTCTGAAGAAGAATATGATTTTGTGAATTATGTAGCATGTGCTTTTGAAGTTCATAAAGGTGTAAACTATGGTGTTTATCTTTCCATATTCAATCAATGTAAGGCTTATGCATCATTATGATGTTCTATTCTTTAAAATAGTAGATGTGTGAGTAGCTATTCTTATTATTTGGTAAAATCTGTTGTATAATTGCTGGCTTTGCAGTCTATCAGAATTCGCTAACTAGGTTGTTTGCACAAAATGTCTTTGTTTCTGTATAAGGTTAAAGTGCCCACACCATATCATCTCTATTGCCTTAACGTTGCTACCATTTTTAATTGGATGAGACATGCAGTGCAATCTTTGTTCTCCTTCATTTGTTCAAGCATGCATGGCGCACACTGCAGCTAAGCTTTATATGGAATTTTTTTTTTCTAATTCCTTGTCTCTCTAGTGCTATATTGATATTATAGCCCATATTTACTTTGGCTAGTTTGTTATGTGATATGCCTTCTTGCTCTAGATGAGCAGTTTCTGTATAATTGGTTACTAGAATTAGATTTTTCTACCTTATAAGTGTCATTGGTGATAAAAGGGTTGGTCACGGATATGTTTTCTGTGTTTAGTTGCTTGAAGAGTGGCATCAGTACTAACTTCACATTTTGTGGATTTTGCAGAATTATCGCCGTAGTACGGGGTGCACTTCGTACCAATGTGCAGTGTCCCATATGCCTAGGTACTTTTGTTGTTTTTCTTCCTCATCATTCTGTAAATTATTTACTACGTTCAATTTTTTGCTAGGATTACAATGAGAGACTTTTTTTCGCTCAAATGTTTCAAGCTCATAAAGATGTAGAATGTGCAATCTGTCTAGGTATTTTGTTTTTCAAGTTATTAATTTTTTCCTATAATTTCATGTAATAATTTATTGGACTGGAGCTGCAGACATGTTGATATTAACATAATCTCTGAGTTTTACATTTTTTTTGGTTCCTATTGAACTTCTAATTCTTAGCATTGGTATATGATTTTGTTGTGTATAGGGATTGTGTCCAATATCGTTATTTTAAGTTTTGACGTAGTGGCCATGATCTGCTGATGTGTCACCTTATGTGTTTCTGCGCAGATGTTTGCAAATTGTCATGTGTCTGTTATTATAGCTAACTGCACCAAGTTATGAGTCAGTTCTCATGTACATTAAGATAGATGAAGTAATGTTGCACATTAATAGCACCTGGGTATGCTTTTGGTGCCTTAACAACATGAAGATTCCCAATGAGGTGACATTCAATGTTCAGTAGATTGTGTATAATTAGGTGTGAGTGATTTAATACATAAGAATTCAGGCCTGCTGAATCTCCAGCTGCTTCTCTTCTATGTTTTACAATTAGTTATGGTCCTAGAATTGATGCATGATCTTCAATTTTCTAGAAAATGCACCTACAGTCATAGAATATATGCATTCTAGTCACTTAATTTTCTAGAAACTGGATTTCTTCTAAAAGTTAATTCTATATACTCAATGCATTTTCAACATTATTTGAAATTAGCTGTTCATTTTCTGAGGTGATCATATCTCCTTATATCATGTCATCACAAGCATGGCATACCATATCAACCTTCAAAAATAATTGCATAAAGCCAGGCATGGATCTTAGAGTATCTCCTAACACTAAACTTGCAACTATAATTGTATGGCTCAACATATGTATGTAAATTTGGTAACAGGATAGATAAAGTCTGAGTTCTTCATGTAGTTGCCGTGCATAGGTTTTGTGACTATGACCAGACATGCCTTGTAGATTTGTTCACATCCTGATAACCTCTTTGACTGAAGATGAAAGTGTTATCATGATACTATTTACTTCATGGTTTGCAATGACTTTCTTTGCACTATAGAAAGATTTTCATAGTAATTACTGAATTCGAGTAAATTGAACACCTCTCCCTCCCTCTCCCCCCCTCTCTCTCTCTCTCTCTCTCTCTCTCTCTCTCTCTCTTTCTGTGACTCTGTGTCTTATGTCTGTGTGTGTGCACGCATGCATCATTTCATGGATTCATGGATCCTTTTAATAAACCATCTGCAACTATGATTCGTTGGATTCATATAAAATTACAGTTCAAGAGATAGTTATCCATGCAGAAAAACTCGCCTTCTGGTCTCTTGCTCATTGTCCATGGTGAATTGATTATTTTCTGTGACTAATTATTCTGCAACTTATGTATAACAGGCATTATTAAGAAAACTCGAACTGTTATGGGATGCCTGCACCGGTTTTGCCAAGAATGCATTGACAAATCAATGCGAATAGGGTATGTAATGAAAATAATTTGCTCTCATTTATTTTTTTGCAGCGCATCTGATGTATTTATTGGGTACTTTCAACGTGGATGAGTAATGTTGCTCTGAGATGGTATAAGGAAACCTGTAATGAATATTTCTTTCTTGCAGGAACAATGAATGTCCTGCTTGCCGCATACATTGTTCCAGCAGACGTTCTTTGAGAGATGATCTAGACTATGATGCCTTGATTGAAGCTATATATCCTGACCTTGCAGAGTACGAACTAGAGGTAGTTCTTTCTGTTTTGGTTTTTTGGTTTGCATTACAACTTTACTTTAAATTCAACAAGGTATATAATTGGCTTTTATGTGGATGTCCTTTCCAGGAAAATGTCTTTCATGAAGAGGAAAAAGCACTGAATAAGCAGGTCATTAAGCCAATGCCAGTGAGATTCATATTTGCTTGCATCTGTGTTGACTTTTGTATTTTTCTGTTTGTCTTTTCCTTCTCGTCGATCATTCTACGAGTTTTTATACATCTTAACCTATGCTTATGGCCTGTTATTCATGCCTAAGTCAGAAGTGATAGCTAGGAAAGGTCTATTACCATTTGTTTTCTACCCTAACCCTCAAGTAATTAGAGTCCTTTTCTTAGAGACCTTGATGAGAAAAATCATATGCAACTTGCAAGTGTCGTTTCAGTATATAGGTCCATTACCAAGCTTTTGCTTCATGTTAGTGGACGTAATATATTTTTACCTGACAATTGGCTGCTTTTATCTTCACCTGCTTCACTTACCTCTTACCTGCTTGCTAAAAGCTTGACCCAAGTTTAACTAGTATTATATGCTAATTCTGTTGCTTGGTGTGATAAATATATTATATTGGAAATCAAAAAGTTGGCCTCAGTGGCTCCAGGTACAGTTTTATTGTTAGGTATATTTTGGGGACAAAGAACCGGGCAGAATATAATGGAGCTAGCGAATCAGGCTCTCCCTGTATCTTTCATAAAAAATTATTTTTGTTAAATATGTGATTTGTTTCCAGTTTGTCCAAGTAATCTGCCTCATTTAGTTTCAGTTTAATTATGAGCTCCTTCTTCACTGCTGGATGCTATCTAATGTTCTTTTGACAAATTTAGTTGCCTGTTTGGTGTTAATAGTAATTATAATCATAATTTCGGTGTCTTTTCTTTGTCTATGGTTAATTCTATGATGTCTTGTGATAAAAGTCCACTAAGTAGAATTTAAAATTGATGTGGAGCAGTCTTCTTTGTTTCCATACACTGAATAGAGAAATAAGTTCCTTTTCTATCCATGATTCTTTTATCTTAGTCTTCATCACAGCAACTCATGCTCATCTCTTCTTTTTCCTCTCTCTCTCTCTCTCTCTCTCTCTCTTTATATATATATATGTGTGTGTGTGTGTGTATGTGTATATATGTCTATATGTATGTGTGTCTATATATATCAATGTATGTACATATATATACATACATATACATATATATATATGTGTGTGTGTATATGTATATATGTGTATATCTATGTATATATCTATGTATATATGTATGTATATCTCTATATGTATCAATGTATGTACATAGATACATACATACATACATACAGAGATATACATATATGTATGTATTTCTATGTACATATGTATAGATATGTATGTATATGTGTGTGTGTGTATGTGTATATATGTCTATATGTATGTGTCTCTATATGTATCAATGTATGTACATATATATACATACATATACATATATATATGTGTGTGTCTATGTATATATGTGTATATGTATGTATATATCTATGTGTATATGTATGTATATATCTATGTATATATGTATGTACATAGATATATGTATGTATATATCTATGTACATATATATGTATGTATGTATATATCTATGTACATACATTGATACATATAGAGATATACATACATATATATGTATGTATATGTATATGTATGTATGTATATATATGTATGTATATAGTGGAATGTTTTCCTTAACCATTACAATTGGCACATGACACATGCAATCAGCAATTGTACCCGTTATATATCAAATTCGTTCCCTGAAGTGGAATGGTTACTTTTGTTTCTGACCCAAAAAGTGTTTGGAGCTTAACAATAAAAATCCATTTTGTATGCATTACATCTTCATTAAATTCAAAAAAATTGTTTTACAAAAGTTAGTCTTTCAAACAAAAGTTATATATCATTAATGTACTCCACTGAAAGGTTTCTTTCTTCTACAGGATCTCATACTGTGTAATTTAAAAGGAGTCCTTCTGTGGCTGGATCAAACACTTGCCTGCATTAAGAATTTTGTTAAACCTAAATGTCAAAATGTTAAACTATTTTGGTGGTACAGCAGTGCTACCACTTCAATGCAGACTTGGGGGAATATTTAGTGTTGGGAGATTTAGGGGGACAATAAACCCAATATTCGATGCTTTTTTGCAATGGCTTTACCAGAAAAAGCTGAGATATATCAATTAACAGAATTAATTTTATTCGATGTTTTCCCTAGTCTTTTGTTCTTTCTCATGCTCCTTTTCAGAATAGCATCTCATAGATTGTTGTGGCAACAGTTTTCACTCCGATAGCTATCATAACTATGCAAAGGTTTCTAATGAAGTAATTTCATAAACTTGTGAGATGCATAGTGAATTCATGGGTATACATACTAGACTTTTAGTTTTAGGAACATAAATTTGTGAACACTAGTACTTCAATGCTAGTTTAGGTTGGTGGAGCATATAGTTACACACCTGAACATTTAAAGCCTAAAATTATGTGTAATAGCTGATGAAAAGAACCAGTTGTCAGAAGCACGAAAAGAAAGGAAAAAGATGAATGGATAAAAGTCCTACATTGTACATTTGCAGCCAAGGTGAATCCATGAAAGAAAGACAGAAAAATTTTCTCTTCCTTAAGTTAATGCACTTATATATACATAAAAATATGTACAATGTGTAAGTGAGAATGATTTTGCTGCCACCGTGATTGGGCAGGTTCAAGCATCAATTGCTGAAATTTCTAGACGACAGTCAGAAGCATTAAATAAGAGGCGTAGAACATATAGAGATGGAGATGACTTAAGAGTACCCCGCAGTCGCAATGCAACTTCAAGAAGAAGAAGCAATCAGAGAACTGATATAGAGTCTGATAATGTTAGTGAGAGGGAAAATGATCTTCAAGGAAACTTAGATCCATCAACGTCTGACAGATCTCACATAGAAATCAAGAACCGCAGGCCCAAGAGACGGGCTAGTACTCAGCCTCCACCAACTTCCCCATCAGCTGCTAATCCTGATAGTGAATATCTCAAAAATCCGGTGGAGCCAGTGAGAGAAAATTTAGTTAATCCTCTTGGGGTTGCGCACAATCCAGAAATGCTGACTTGGGGCAGAGGTGGTGCTCGTAGCCACACTCGACATGGAGGTGGGAGTGCTGGCAGAGGCACCAGGGGCAGCCGAATGTCCAAGTTGATGGAACAGCTGGAAAGCTCCTCTAAGATTGATTATATGGTATTTCAAGCTATTGGTCTATTGTCCTACCTATCATTTATTTATCCATTGGAAACAACATGAGATCTATATGTAACAGTCCAAGTACAGTTCCTGTATATGGTTCTTCTAATTTACATATTTTGTGATACTGTAGATCATGGCATCAAATTTCACTTGTCTGTCCTAAATTTATTCTTTGCAGATAGAAACCCCATTTGCATTAGTTTCTCTGGACAAGGAAAGGATACCAAATTTAGAAAAGCCCTGGCTTTGTTTGCCGTCAAGCTCTTCCGTCAATCAACTCCGCAAGGTTGCAGTTTTCTTACATGATTGTCTCACAGTGACATGCATATGTAGTCACCAAAATGTTAACCACTGGACTTTTATCTATTAGACAAGGGTCTAATCAATTCAGAAGATATAACAAGGTCTCGTGGCTTCATTTGTTAAAATCTGTCTTTCCACTGTTCAACAATGGTAGACATTCATTTAAAACTATTTGGTTACAGAACTTTTTTTTGTTGGATCTTGACACAAAATCTTGTGTTCGGAATATGTATTTCTTGTATTATACAGTGTCAATAGCTAATTCAAGATGGTGCCCATTCCCTGAGCCAGATTCTTTATACAGTTCTCTTTTCTTTCTGTTATTAGATATTCTCTAGTTGTTTTCTAACTTCATTCCTTTGTGAAATATTTTGTTACCATAGCTCGTTGCTGATGAAGCAAAACTTGAAGCTGAAGATGTTAAAATGCTGTTAGTTAAGGAGGCAGGTGTTGATAAAACCAGTGCTGATTATTCACACATGATTGATAGACAGGATCCCCTTTCACGAATGGTTAATTGGTCCAACATTTGCTTGGAAATTCAAGAGGGCCAAGAAACTCTAGCTGGGCTCCGTTGCTCTACAAACACCATATATTTGGTAAGTGACAATTCAAAATCTATGTGATATTGTGCTTGCTGAGCCTTCTGTTTGGTGACATGTACTATAAGCCATTTTAAAAGCCACATGATCATTCTCTTTATATTCCATTTTTACTCCTTAACGAAGTGCTTTTTCTGTTTCAGATACTAGCTTACCAATACAAAAAGGATAATCAGCAAATTCAACCCTCTCCTCTTTGAGAAAAAGGTAACAATGAAGTGTGAGGCTGCTGCTTCTCGTGAAAAACTAAAGGCTCGTTGCAACTGCAGCAAAGACTTGTTGCAACAAAACTAAAGGCAAGAGATCGACCAACAGGCCGGAGGGTTTAAAAATGCATGTTTATTGCAAAAGACTTGTGCAACTATTGGTGTCATATCATCTTAGGTTTCTTGCAGAAATTTTGTAGTTTTGATGATAGAATTTTCCTTTTAATGAAGCTGAACAATGACCACAGAAGACATTTATATAGTTACATCCACCTATGTATGTAGTGTAAATCCTGTATCTTTTCATCGTGGTGTGACTTGATTCTTGACCCAGATCATGGCCTTTGATCTGTTAGCTAGAGACCTCATTTGTGCTGGTTTCTGCTTATAAGAAGGGGCTTACACACATTCTCTCTCTCTCTCTCACACGCAAGTGAGTTGTACTGCTTATCATTTTGAAATTTGCTGTAGACAAAAACATGCAAATTCAGCCAGCCTGGAACAGAGATTTGTCTTGTTAGTTTAGCTGGTAAGTGGGGGTTCTATTGTGTCCAGGGTTCGTTCTAGTGCATTTAGTACAACATTCAAACAATACCCCATTTGGACAGCCTTCTTTCGCCGAAAAATTGCATCGTTTTCCGTGATCATATTTCCCTATTATCTTTTTTTCTCACACACATCAAATCGCTACAATAATTTTTCTACGAAAAATCCAAAAAAATGCAATCCAAACAAGACAATCAAAAAAAGATATTATTATGAAAGATTCATTTCGTTCTCCAAAAGTCAAAAAGCTCTCCAGTAAAAGTTTTTCTCTCAAACTGCCCCAGCTGGGACTTTGTTCCTCCAAAGTATTGAGAGTTACACGTCAGAATTTTAGGTCATTCCAACTCAGCAACCCAAAGAAAAAAGAGAGAGAGAGAGAGAAGAGCATTTAAGGTCACCCCAATTCTTTATTCTCTTAGAAAGAAAAGAATAGTGAACTTGAGATTTATATTAAATACAAAGAATTATGAACTTATATATTGAATCAACAAAATTTGTGATATATGTAGTCAGAGCTAGAAAGGACTGGTTTTACATCATTTTCTTTGAAGAGAATTTCTAGTTCTTTTTGTTTTGTGTTGGTTGATCTTTATTTTCAAATGTTAGATGAATAAGGAACATTAGATGGTTGATTTATTAGCTTTAGCTTGTGACTTTGATTTAATGATAATGAGAAACTCTAGGATCTAATCATTGTAATTTTTTAATGATTCAATAGCTAAACATGCATTATTTGGCCTATGAATTATGCTTTAAATTTTGGGCTAGTATGAAAGGTCAACCAAGTTAATCCCATATTATATAGCAAAAATATTTATTTAATGTATCACTATATATTAAGTTAAACTTGTAATTATAAAAAATGTTAACAATGTAATTATAAAAAAAAACTAAATTTTGCTGTAGATAGGGTAGTTGAGTAAGATGATAAAATTGAAATTAATGTGCCATTTGGGAAAGCAAAATAATTAACATTTCCCTAATTCTATGCTGCAAGTACATGGAAGTTGCTTTAATTTGTTTTTTTCAGGCTTCTAATTGGTGTAGTCCTCTATGTATTGCTTGAGAGGTATAATAATAACAATTCAATGGATTGGTTAACACATCAATATCTTTCGTACAAAACGATTGAATAATTAATGTATAGTTGTCAAGGTCCAAATCACGTAAAAAAAAAAAAAAAAAAAACCTTAACGGTAATTAAGAGTACACTCATGTTTGAAATAAAATAGAGTCAATAAAATTTATAATGAGGGCATTGTAGAAAAAAAATATAAATCACTAAATTTGATGAGGCTATCCTTATTTTATTTCTTGTTTAGATTCTACATATTGAGGTTCCCTTCATGACTTGCACTAAAGGATATATGCACTAAAGGCTTGGCTTCCAGTTATTCGCTATCACCTTTTTTTTGTTCTCTTTTGATGACTTATTTTTATCATCTGATGTTTAACGCCTTGATAAATCAATATGAACAATTACTTTGAAATAAACATTGAAAAACATTTAACACAAGAAGAAACATCTTAAAAAGTGTAATAAGTATGAAAAAGATAAATCGCATCCTAAATAATAATAGTGATAGAGTTTAGGATCCAATGTCCTTTCCACAAATCTTTCAAAAGATATCAGATTGGCCACCAAAAAAAATTGAAATGTTTGGATAAGCAATAATTATCTCATCCTAATATTAATTGTTCAGACTTGATTCACTTGAGGCGTATATAATAACAAATTTAACTTCTTACAAAAGTGACAGCAAGTTTTTGTGAGTTGCTAAACATTATTTAGTTTTTATTAGTTATTAACTTTCATACAATAAAGTTATGGGAATTCTATTGGATAATGAATTATGAAACTAGACAAATTTTATAAGGTGCAGATACTGTTGAAGATGCTATTATAGGTCATTCTTTATGTAAAATTGGGAAGTTATAATGATATAAGAATTTTGACAATAGTAGACATCTAAAATTTAAATTGATTCTTTTTTTTCTTTTTTGAAATTCCTATGTTTTCTTTGATATCTTTACTCTAATTTGACACCTAAGCATTATTTAAAAAGTAAAATATAGAAAAAAGCCTTGTGGTTTAGTCAAAGGTCATGGAATCCCTGTATCATTCAAAAATAGCCAAATAAACTCTTTATACTTTGGACGATATGGACCTTGGACAAAAATCATTCAAATTGATGGAGCATGGATTACACACGCTTGACAACTGAGTGCACCTTGCAGTGGAGGAAGGTATTTTGGTAATTGTACTTCTTCTTATTTCTTTTTTTTTTTTAACTTTTCTTTCATTTTCATCTTTTTTTTTTCCATGTTTTCCTTTTTCTTCTTTTCTTTTCTAATTTTTTCCTTCTCCTCCCACACATCAAATCATCAAACTAAAAGCCATTTGTATCCCCTTTTTTCATTTTTTTTTATGATTATTTTCCTTCGCCTCCTGGTGTAGCAAAATAGAATCACCACCACCAGTTGCCATTGCTGCCATCTCCACAATTAGCTACAACCCTTGATGCTACTGCCATTAGCCATTACCAAATAATGTCCAAACTTTACCAAATTTTCATCCCAAGCGCTATTCATCTAGTAAACTTCGATTACAATGTTTGATTTGACCAAAACTAGTCAAAAATTAGCAAAATGGGATTCGAGTCTGGACTAGTCTAAGCCTCTTTGTTACCTTAAATCACCATTATATCTTATAAAATTAGCATTGAAACGATTCTCAAGAGTCATAGAATGATTATGTAAAAGCAATTTAACATGAAAATGTGAGAATAATCTAAATTTAAAACAAATTTGAGACCCAAGATGTAGGTGAAATTGGCAATGAAGATGGCAACAATGATGTAAGTAGCAGATGATGATGCCTTTTTTTAAAATTTCAATTTGGCCGCTCAATTTACTTTTCTACTAAAATGAAGTAACGAAGTTTTTAAAATTTCAATTGAGTCTTGAACTAACTATTGGTATACTTTGCAAATAGGGATAATATAGGAAATTTTCATCTGGGCATTAATTTGGATGATTTTCATCCAAAGTCCACATTAGTCTAAAGCATAAGGAGTTTATTTGGTGTTTTTAAATGATAAGGGGTTCCGCGGCATTCGATCAAACCACAAGGGAATTTTCTATATTTTACCCTTATTTAAATATTTTGAAAGAAAAATTGTCAAGCACCTAAAATTATTTGTGCTTATATATATAGAGGATAAAACATCGTAAATATAAGGTAGGTTTTTTTAACTACCAGCTTTCACTTTTGTCAAAAATTTTATTTTCTTTGGCAAGTCAAAGTCAAATTAGATTTGTTATCCCTTGTATTATGTTCAAAATCAACTAGAATAACACCAAGTAGTACTATGTTATTTAATTTAAACTATATTTAATAAAATTAAGTAATTTCATTCTAAATCTAACTGTATTTTGTAAGAAAATTGCAATGCAATTCTCTTCCTAAAATAAAATATTGACATTGATACTTAAATTTATAATCTTTAATGCTATTATGTTCCACCACAGTAGGAGCCCAACATTGATACATTAGAAAGCTTTCTATTATTTTATCCAAAATTGCTTATAGTATATGTGTATGAAATTAAGAGACTATCATTTATTTATGAAATATCTAAATAAAGATCAATTGTACAGTTATGCAACCATTTACTTTAAAACTTTTTGTTTGCTGAAGGAGTTGCTAGTTTAAAATGCCATGTTTAGAAACTTCAATTTTCTGGATTGGCATAATACAAATACCATACTCATACATCAAGTGCACTAGAAGAATTACAATACTTGAATATTATTGAAAGTACTAATTACTTGGTAGCTCCCATGCATTTATTTGAAGTAATTTGTGTATAAAAATTTAAATGGTATAAAAAATGCTCATATCAAATCCAGATTATGAGTTAGTTTTATAATATGAAATGATATTTTATTTGGATAATGAAACAATTTGGAGTTATGGCATTTCATGTTGACCTTTGGAATCATCAAATAAATTTGTCTTAGATGCTTCAATTACTGATGGTCCATCATCTCTACAAGTAAAGGAACATAGATTTTATCATAAATTAGAAATGAAATGTGTAATAAATTTATTGTAACCACATTTGTCAATAAAAATAAAAGGTGATTACCTGTGTATTTGAAGAACCTCCCTATAGACAATGCCTTGGCGTATGAAGTTAGCATTTCTCGATTTTGATCTTCTTTTAGAATAGTTGACATGGACATCCCTCTAGATAACGCCACATATAACAATCTATGAAAAAAAAGGGATTGTGGCAAGTAAACACCTATATGTTAAATCGTTTGCATTTATTAACATATCTAGTCTATGCGCGAATGCCGTTGTTTCCAATTGAGTTCCAATTGCTGACGTGGTGCGCTGCTATTGGTTGATTGGTGGTGTGACGCCCCCGCTTCTCTCAAGG